GTTTGGGAGCCTGGAGCAGATGGCCTAATGTGCTGGCCTTTGCCAGTGGGTTATGAGGTTGATGCAATTTCTCTGATACGGGCCAACAATGACTTGGAAAGAATACATGCACCTTCACTAAGTCTTCTGAATTATTCCTGTGTTATTTTTGTGTGGTTTAAATTGGTTGAATAGCTATGGGCTCATTCTGCTGTTACTTTGGTGTTTGCAAGCTTTCAGATTCACTGCATATGCCCTTGTGTTCATATTTGTATTTGTGACTGTCCCAGAATTTTACAGGACATAGCACATCTCGAAAGATCATTATTCATTATTTAAAACCTGCACCAATTTCTATCTATTCTATGTTGGCCGTTATTTATATTCCATTCATAAACTTTGATCAAGTAACGCCAGGCAGCATTCAGGCAGCGGAGCAGCCAAGAGGTGAAGTAGGCCATTCACAAACAGGTTGCAGGCTGGTACTCACCCATAGTCACTGGTTGGTGAATCATACTGGGCAGCAAATACATCCTGGGCATCAGGATCCTTTCACATGCTGAAGGAAGTGTTGCAGTTTTACTCATTTGATCTTCATATTGCTTTCTGGAGGCTTTCATCCCAACGTGTTTCTTGTTACAGTAATTCAGGGACATATTATGAAAACTGGAATTCTGCTAAATTCAAGCAAACTTCTTGCTGAGTATGACCTTTAGGATCTTAATTCTGCAACAAGAAAACGTACAGCCATATAGCAACACGAAAATGTGAATTTACTTTGGGCTGCAAGAGGAATCCTACACAAGAGTGTACAGGGCTCTGCTTGGACAACGCAGGAGCACGCATGCTGCAGCTGTAAGTGGCAGGGAGGCTGCAGCTCCACAGGGTTTTCCTGTCACCTCTGCAGCCTTCTAAGCCCATTTGTGGGTAGAAGTCCAGAGTTAACAGCTAACGGCAAAAGATTTTGCCTATGGGTGAATCTTACCATTCTAGTTAGAATGTGACTTTTGGCTGGACAATGGCAAGTGCCAGGGAGGGGTTGAGGAGAGAGATACAAATCTCTTCACTGTAAATATTTCCTGTTGAAATATCCTGGAAGAAATATTTCTGACAGTTTCACCTTTTTCTTAACCCTGTTGGTATTGCTTAGATGGCAGTGACACCCTGTGGTACCTGCCGCTGGTGCAGCACTTGGCGGTAGTTTGTTCAGGAAGTCAGGATAAGATTGCTGTAACAAAAAGTCCAGGGATGTTTTTAATTCATCTTCACAAACCACATCCTCTATCCTCCCTGAGTGCCTCTCCACTAAGCAGGATGGACCTTTCTGGAGTTAAATGTCCTGGAAATAGCTGCTGCCTCTTTGTGAGCATTTGTGCAGTGCCTGCAGGGTGAGTCTCTCTGCTTCGATGCCCATCTCTTGGCTTTACAGTAAGAGGAATCAGCTGTAGTAACAAACCAGTACCACATCACAGTGTGTCTTTGCTATATAACTTAGCGAAAATGCTTGCTGCCTCTGCGCTTGCCCCGGTGAGCAAGGAAAGTTTGTAGTTGGAGGGAACAGTGCTCATCTTCGGTATTTTCTCTCTTTTAGGGGGTTCACGAGTCAAAAGGCGTGACTGAAGATTATTTGAAGCTGGAATCCCTGATCCAGAAAGTCGTTTCTCCTTACTTGGGTACATACGGTCTCTATTCCAGTGACGGACCCTTCATGCACTCTTCCTGTATTTTGGGTAAGAAAAACAGAGACTCGATTTGACATAGCACAGAGGGCTTCACCAAAACCTCAGTCCACAGAGGCCCAGGGCCCACACGAGAGGAGACTGCCAGTACTAACGCAGCACAGTCGGGTTCCTTTTCTAAGGCCATACTCTTTGCAACGTGCAAAGTCACAGTGAAACTTGCCAGTGGCAGAAGATGAAAACAGATCATCATAACAGTGCTCATTACTAAATCTGTGAATCTAGAGTGTTTAGCATTTCTATTCTACCTTTTAATGAGCGAGCTTTAACACAGGATGCTTTATGGACAGTGAGAGGAAGAAGTAAGAAGCCGTTTCTAGAGTACTGAGTAGTGTCTGTTCATTAGTGTACAAAGATCGTACAAGGCTGTTTAAAGCAGGGAAGAGAGTAGGAATTTGTCTTAGAGAAGACTAATGGATAAGCCTTCAAACATGGAAAAGCTTTCTGCAGAGTGGAATGTAATAAGCTGTTCTCCATTCCACTGGAGATAAGAAGAATGGAGTGGACAACACATTGCAGGGGAAATTCAGATTACATGGAAGGAAAAATCTTGTCACGTAAACCGCCTCTGGACGCTGTTGAATCTTCACTGCTATAGGCGCTATATACATGTCACATACATAGGCATCCATAAGGAGCAAGGTGGTTAAATGTAGTCCTGCCTGGTGGCAGAGGCTGAGTGAGTGACCTTCTTGAGACCCTTCCAGCTTATTTTCTATGATTCTTTCAGCTCTGAAGCACTCAGTGACTTCTGTGAGGGCAAGACTTGGCCAAGATTAAGGTTTTTTGAATATCCCACGTAGTAATTCAATCTGTTGAAAATGCAAGGGGGATACTACCAGCGTAAATCAAAAAGGAAATGTGGTTGTACCTCAGTATTTTAATGTAAATACTGTGATGGCCTGCTTGAATAGAGAAAACAGAGGGGAAAATAAGTACAATTGTGTATTTTCTATGCAGTCAATTTAATCTGTTTGCTTGTCAGAAATGGTCAATAAGTTGGTTGATTTTCCCTTGAAGCTGAATGGAAAAATGGTTGTATTGCAGTAGGCATTTAAGAAACAAATCAGTTTTACCTGAATAAATAGAGGCCAGTTATTTATGGCAAATGGTTCAGGATTACTACTCTGTATTCATTGCTTGCCATTAAAAGGCCACAAGCATTTAAATGGAGCCCCAAACTGACGTTTTCTGAGTACAAGCTTTTGTATGTCAGGACAGAAAAAATGCACCCAAAGAGAATAAAACTCCAGTGAAATGGATTGTTAGAAAATAAATATTGTAATAAATGAAAATTGAAAATGAAAATAAATGACTGCAGAAGATAGCAAGGCTTTGGTGGACTGGGCACTTGCCCTTGCTGCGGTCTGGGGTGCAGATCTGTAGCAGTACCCCTGAATAGCTCTTCTGTAGTCAATGAACCTGGATCCAAGGGAGCTGAGTGTGTAAGTCTCTGCTTTTAAACTAACGCATCTAGGTCTGTCCGGCTGTTTTGGTAGCACAATTTAAAGCTGTGACATATTGTCCTTGGGACTGGTGAGGCCACTGACCTCTTTTCTTCCCTGTCAGGCCAGAACTCTCAGCCTTCCCTTCCAGCCAAGCCTTGGTGTGACCAAAAAGCCAGAGTTTCTGTGGCAGGGCAGCCCCAGGGAACCTTTTCTATCTGCCAGGTCAAACTCCTAACAAAGAAAAAGTCCAAAAGTGAACTTGGCTCAGTTGATTTCACTGCTGAGGCAGACACAACTGCAAAATAAAATCTTAAGTACAGAACCTGGCTTTTTCAGTAGTACAGCATATGATTGGCATTTGTGTCTAGGTAAGCACATAATCATGCATAGGTACAATTTTAGAAGAGACCGGCATTTGTAAAGGAAATTGCATGGTTTGCAGGGGAACATATACCAGCACCCTGATTTAAAGCAGACAATTTATGTGCAGTGGTTGATTTCCAGAGTGCAATTTGATTCCCTTCTCCAGCCGTGCCCCTTTCATGGGGATGGCAAAGTGAAAGTAGCAGGAAGAAAGCTTCAAAAGTGAGACCTATTATTCACACCTATTTTTTTTTATAGCACAAGCGAGTCTGAGCACTGAGATCTGCAAAAAGTTTGCATGTTGGTCATTTTGATCTAGCTACTGGAGAGCACTCCCGCCCTGGGGCACTGGTGGGGGATCTCTGTGCTGACTTGCTGCCACCAGCTGCTCATTCTTTGGGAAGAGCCCACTGGGGTCACAGCAGCCGCATTGAGTGCAGGTTTGTTCCCCAAAGAGGTTGCTGTGGGCACTGCCCTCCAGTTGACAGTTCCACACACTCTTGGTGCTCTCTCCTTCTGTGATCTCTGAATGATGCTTTGAATCTAAGTTGTTCCAGAATTACTAGTAAGACTGCCTGTCTTAATTCTTGTGCCCCAAATTTGAAGAGACCTGATTTTCCCAGCATGACTGGAAAAGTTAAATTTCAACTACTAGAACTTAGTGATGACATTTATAGCCCGAACAAGAACAGAATTGCACTTTCCGTTCTTGTCTAAAGAAAGTATTTGCAATTGTGTATCAGGTCTCCCACAATATTTACTGTTTTACACCAGCTGCTGAAGTTGTATGAATATAAGGGAATCTCAGCTATTTTTGGTAAAGATAGGTTTGGGGTCTTCAATATGCTAATGAAATCTAGGAAATCTGAAGCCTATGGATCTACAAATCCAGAAAAATGTATTCTTTTATAAAAGTTTCTGTCATTCAGGAAAAGCTCATGAATATTTAGGCCTTGACATTTCTTTTGAACACTCGTAATTATTAGCGCTGTGAAAATAGGAGACTGTAGATATTACTCTGGATCTTTCTCTATTTACAGAGAAGAGGTTCTTCAGGCGTTCAAAATCAGGTGACATCCTTGCCAAGAACCCCGTGGTGCGATCAAAAAGCTACAACAATCCACTGCTGACACCAGTGGCCGAGTATGAAACTGAGGGCATGGCTGCCAACGGAACAGGCATCCGAAGGCACTCTGTTTCGGAAATGACCTCCTGCCTGGAGCTCGAGGGGTACTCCAACCTCACCACCATCATGGACAACGGTTCCAAGAGCTCCATGACAGCCACGAAAAGCTCACTCTCAGGAGACCAGGAGAGGGCCAGCAACGGATCCGTGCAATGCTCTAGCAAACTCAGCACAGTTGAGCAACAGAAAGGACTCTTCCACTCAATGGACGACCCACATAGGTCTTTTGAGCTGGACAGGGACCCTTCCTTGATTCCAGTTCCCTCTTCCAGCCCTGAGAACATAGTGGATCAGATTTTGGAGTCAATCGACTCTGATTCTGAAGGCATTTTTATTGATTTTGGCCGAGGCTGTTCCAATTCATCAGCATACAATGTGGACGTGAACAGACAGAGCATCATGTGAAGGACATCAGGAGACAAACCTTGGGTTTTAATATTATATATGGAAGTTACTAACGCATTGAGTCGGACTGTGGGCACGCTATACATGTCTAGGGCAGAACATCTGTTGTAGGTCATCGCAGCTGTATTGAAGTACACAAACAAGTTTACAGCAGGCGTGAATCTGCTGCAAGGGGGAAGAAACTCCAGCCACTTCTCCTCGTCCGTGTCACTGTGCAGTCAGATTTCCTGTTGTCTTTATAAACTTAGGGGTTCACAAGCTGACAAGTGTCTGGTAAAATGCTATTAGTGCAGCTGGCAATGTTTGTTCAGTAAAACAGCCTAGCAAATAGCTGTGTTCACTTTTAATTCTCTCAAGAGATTTCTGTAGACAGCAGGTTGTTCTCTGAACTGTAACACCTGAGCCAGAGTAAAAACATATCCTTTAAAAAAAACCAAACAAACAAAAAACCCAGAGGCTGTGGGCCTTCATGCCACAGAATATGGAAGAAGTCTCTTTTAATCTTTGTTGTACATCTTGTATGCACTCCTTTGCCTAATGGCGAGTTAGAGTTCTTGAAGAAAGGCAAATAAACAGAAATGTGCTACCTGATGTCACGCGATGCCTCGTGTCTCATGTTCTGTTTCACAGCCAATACCTCGTGTCTGTGAGAGAGTTGTCTTGAAACTGGCTTTTAAGGCCGTGTTAATTTGCTCTGAATGTGGCACTTCCAAGAAATGTGGAAGCAACTCTTGGAGCATCCGTTGTATGGACAGATTCCAGCAGAAATCAACTTGTTTCCTAAATAAATAAAAATAAGGGCTCTGGGTGGAAATTTCATTATATTTATATTCTTGAAGAAACACAATAATACATATACTGTGAATTATGTATTGATATTTGAGGAGTGTGAACCTTGCAGCTCTTCTGGTCCTGAGCACTCCCAGCTCTTTGATTCTCCCTTGCAGTAGCATGGTGTTGTAGGAGCTGTATTGGTGGTTTTACAGAGGATTGATGTGCATGATACTAAGGTGAAGTAGAAATTGTGATGCATGATAGATTTTTGATCAGATGGTTTTACAGTGAAGAAAGAGTTACTTCAGGTCACTCCATTCTAGGCATCTCTTCTGGAGGGAAGAGTTCGTAACTCCAGAGCTGCTCAGCAGAGACTGGTCGTCAGTTCAGTCTGGCAGAGCAGCTTCAACTGGGAAGAGAAAGACACTGCTAGGACCCTTCCCACCTGAGCTTTTGTGTGGTTCATGCCTTTCCCTGCGATAGGAGACCTTGAATCCCCTGGTATGCTGGCAATGAACTAACCTCTCCCACTTTGCCTGCAGGGAGCTAGTGAATGAAAGTCCTCCTCTGGCTGTTTTAGAAAGTTATTTAAAGATTGGGTTCAAGACAGTGACTGCATAAGAGGAGTGTTCCTAACAGCTGCCTCAGAAGACCTCAAAGAGAAACAGGGCTTAGGAAACAGTCTTGTCTTCAGCATTTCCTCTCGGCCAAGGCAGGCAGCCTGGTGCCTGTTGTAAAAACCAGTTCTTGGACACTTCGCCTTCTCATGTGTACTGCGGAGGGAACCGGCTCTCCTGGGGCGTTGTAGCATTGCAGCCCAGCGCTTCCAACCTAGCCTTTACATTTCTAACTCTTACACTTAAAGTGGGCTCTTCAGGGTCAAAGCGCTACCAGCAGAAAGATCTTCTGTAGGCTTTCATTAGCAGCATGTAGACTCTTCAGAAGATACAGACCAAGGCCCATTCACCAGGACCACATTGGAGAAGGGCAGAAAAGCAAAGCAAAGCCCAGCCCAGCCCCACCCTGCCCCACCCCGAAAACTGTAATTGCTAGCTGTGATAGGGCTGAATGAGTATTTAGGGAAGTTGGGCTTAGACCTGTGGGGATTCATTACTACTTGTTAGGATATTCTGTGAGTGCTGCTGAGCTGAAGTAAAAGGCTTATATTTATCCTCTTTAGGATGAAGAGGCTCTCAACTGGCTCCAGTTAAAGTGAGTTAACCTGATGGTGCTGTAATGGAACAGGCTGGCCTTTCTTCTTGCTGTGGTTTAGAGCTTGCTGAACTAAACTTGCCTCTGCTAGCCAATGTGGTATTCACAAAAGTATTTTGTGTGCTGTGCTAAAGCTCTGCTACTAGGGTAATGACTAAAGAAGCAGCAAATGCATTCTGACTTTAAGGGTTCAAGCTGCAGTTTCAGGGCTATTTTTTAATTAAAGAAAGCATTATAAACTCAGCAGGCTTGCTATGAAGAGCCTGAAAATCTAAAGTCAGAGTTAAGTTCCTTACTGCAATGGTGATAGGGTGGCATTTTGTCTCTCCTTCAAGTTTATATTAAAATATGTAGGTGAATACGACTGTAAATTGAAAAACTGGGTGTAGTGGTCTAGCTGATTCCTGTGAAAGTCACCATGTCTGTTGTCGTCAGACATGAAGTTTCTCATCAGCTCGTTCCCCAAGAAGTGGCGTGACTGGGGACACTACGTACTGAGTAGAAGGGTGTCAGTGGAGCTGTGCCCTAGCTCTGTGCTTTGAGCCTTTCTGCAGGTCTGGTTTGCAGTTGCAAGATCGTGTGTGTGACTGAGGAAGGTGCGGAGGGACGTAGTCAGCCGTGGCCCTGGGAGGACAGATCACGCGAGTGATGCCGAGCCAGGCACGTGCAGGCAATCGAAGCCCGCCGTGCAGTGACTTTAAGTGCTACACAGATGTGAGACTACCCTAATTTGTGATCCTTCTACTAGTAACCCCAGTGCAGCCAAGTCAGGGATTTGGTGGTCTTAGAGATAAATCATTGAGTCATTACAAAGGGGAAAAGTGTATCAAAGAGAATAGTGCAGGTTCTTGCCAAAATGTATTTATGAAGTGATGGCTTTCAGGTTTCTAATGCTGCTCCATGGCAGTGTCCCAGTGCACCAGTGGTACTTGAGCTTTGTCCCTAACGGCGCATTCTACGTATGCCAGTTATTCCTCTCCACCCTTCCTTTGTTATGACAAACTGTGGCATTTTGGATCCTAATCCAAAAACCAAAAGCTCTCTACTCTTTCCCTGGTTGGGATGGGTTCCAAAACCCTACAAGGGACAATACAGAGCAACAGATAACACTTAAAGCTCCTGTCATCTGGCACTGCAGGGTGAATGTTATGCAAGCAAAAGGAACTGGGAGACTAACCTAAAGAACAGCTGCTCAGCTCTGTGGAGAAGTAATACAGCTCCCTGGAGCACAACTGGGAATAGCAGAATAATTGGTTGCAAATAATGCTGCCCAAATAGAGGGCTTTTTTTCGTAGAAACAGGGAAAATTACTTTCCATTATTCAATTAGCTCCTGGCAAGCTGGTTTTGATTGTGCTTTTGACTAAAACACCCTTGCTGGTACCATCTGAACCACTAAGCGCTGGTGACAGAAGCGCTATGGGCCACCTTCTTCTAGGACCACCATACAGATATGTGAATATATGAAAATATCTGATATATCTCTAAAGTTCTGGTTAGAGATGTATGGATCGCCCCTTTATTAGGATAACATGCTGTAAGAACATGTTGGAAATAAAGATGTCAGAAAGCCCTTAGTGTTATCTTTGAGCTCTGGTCTGCAGAGGTGCGACTGTCATTCCAGAACTTTTCTCAAAGTACCAAAATTTGGAGGCAGGGAGCAGAAATCCAGATATCAATTGAGCTGGCAGTTCTGCAAATAACAAGCAGCCATTTTAATAATATGTAACTCCTTGCCAACGTGCTCTCCAGGAGAATAAAATGCTTGGTTTACAATTGAAGTCTTGTTTGCACCTTTCCACAAAGGAAAATATATACTTCTAAAAGGAGAATGAATATATTTTGCCTTGAAGAGCTTTCTAACATCCCTTTCTCTTCACGTGGCATGGTAGCAACAGCAGGAGCAAATTGCTGTGCTCAGTGGTTTGCAAGTTCCTAGACTCTTCTTCCTGTGAAAAGGGAAGAGACAGTGCTTGGAGCTGGGAGAGCCGGCCAGCATCTCAAGCTGGGCATAGGGTGAAAGGTGCCGAGAAAGCAGCTGTGTCCCCTAAAATCCACCTCGGGTTAGAGCTGCTCACGGCAGTTTGTCTTAACTGGCAGCAGGCTTCAGAAAACCACAGACCATCTGATGGGTTTTTCATCTGCTGCAGCTCAGTGGCCAGCCCACCCTTCCCAGGAGGGTGATGTGGAGAAGAGCTGCCAGGGAATAGATGCTGGAAGCATCCAACGTGGCTCCTGGTCCCTCTGTATGGCCTGAAGGACCTCAGGCTCCTGCCTGACATTACTGATGGATTAGGGATCTCTGAGGGATGGAGATTATACCAAATGAATGAACTCCCCAAGATACTGAGAGAAGTCCAAGAAAGTGGTTCAAATGTTTTGTGTGGTCCCAAGATACTGCAAAAAGGCAGGCACGAACTCTCCCAGATGCTGTGTGTTGGCCTAGTTGGTCCATCAAAACTGATGGTTAAACTCGACTGATTTCATCAGACTCAGAATTAGGCTAATGCGTCGTCTCCCTGAAATCCCCTGCCTGGCTTAAAGCTGCTGCTTACTCCTCTCTGTCGCCCTCAGAAGCCACTTTTTGGGGTGACTGGCAGAAAAGAGCTAGCTTTGACCTAGTATCTCAATGTCATAATTATGCTGGAATTTTAGTATTCTTCAGGCAGGTAACATGACAAGTAATTAAACAGTGGAAATAGCCTGATTCCTTCACAAATGGTGCACCCCTCAGGTCTTGTGTTGCGTAATTGGATTAGCAAGTTGGCTGCTCGCCTACCTGAGAGGGGAGCTGCCAGGATGCTCTGCCAAAGCCGGAGGAGAGAGGGAAGGGAAAACTGGGGGAGTCTTCAGCCGTGGAACTGCTGGGCCAATAAACCTGCCAGAAGTTTATTGTTTGTTAGTTGCCTTTGGAAAATGAGGTATGGGAGGCTAAGCTTATATTTCTCTTACTGAGGATCTGCATCAGCATTTTCACCTTAAGATTGCTAACACTTCCAGAATATATTTATTTCCTAATTATTTTAGGATTAAATGTGTTGGGTTTTTTTTTCCCCCCCTTGCAAAAGCAAATTGTTAGTCTTAGGCAGAGTTTTAGCTAGGTTTCAAAATGCATTCCCTTTATAAATCCTAGCCCTCTGAGTTCTGGGTTTGGAAATCAGGATTTGAAGGGAATTCTTAGGGTACTGTTGTTGTCTTTACAATGAAGATTAGTCTTGGGATCAGATTGCTGGGCTGGAGCTCGGAGACTGGGATGGCTGAATTCCATGTCTGCCACAGGCTTTTTGCGTAGATTTAAGTCACTTAGTAGCCCTACGCCTCTTCAGAACATAGGGATAACGTTATTATCTGTCTTTCTTACATTTTAAATTGTCGAGTGGATTGTCTGTTGCTGGAAGGTTTCACGATAAAGCATGCACAACAAGAGCAGAGGAGGCAGTAGATTAGAGAATGATTGAATGTAAATTAGCAATGCAACCCAAACTTTTGTGTATTTAACTTTGTTGCCATCATATTCTTTTAATGTAGCTGCACCACTGATTTATGTCTACACGTGCTAATTAATTCTGATTTATGATCCATTCCCTATCTATCTACATGCCT